AATCCACATTGCAGACTCACTCCTCCCCACCCCACCCACCGCACTCCTTGCCTTGGATTGCCTATATTGATACATGAAAGCCCACACAGTAGAGCTTCTTTCTGATGCTCAAATCTGTGGTGTATGGAAACAGGAGACTTGTGAGGGGTTGACCTGGGTTCTTGCAGAAAGAGAGGGAAAGTTTCACCTTCTCAATCTTCTAGGCGGCAGACTCCTCCCACAAGCCGAGTTCACAGCAGTGGATTCCAAGAAGCTGCCCAGTACCAGACACCGTATGCAATTACTATAAGTAGAAAAGAGACCCAGACACCGCTGGCTGGGTCACAGCCACACAGCCAGGACAGAGGCAGGGCAGCGATTTCCATGTAGATCCCCTTCGCTGTGGAGCCCACACTCTGCCCATCAAGCCATGTTACTTTGCAAAGTACAAGTTACATATATAATGCACACACACACACACACACACACGACTATACCATGATGTTAAAATCACATTCAGTTAAATGGCACTGAATTTTGTTGACAAGTATCGTTCAATTTGCTTATTTTGTTTTACTTGTTTTGCTTTGTTTGGAGCGTGTTTGCGCTAACATGGTTGATTTTAGGCATCTCGTCACTCCAAAATCAGTCTCGGGTAATTTGAAGAGTTAAAATACCCTCCAAAATGTAGGCTGATGATAATATTTGGTTTCTGAGGCCGTTAGCTGTGCTATGCTGTCAGGCATACACAAAGGCAGTACTCTGAAGGTTTGATTCGGCAGCGTTCCTAACTCCCTAGCTTAGAATGGAGTTTAAAGTCCCTGCTTTACCCTAACGGTGCAGTGCAGTTAGCTATAACCTAATTGTGCCAAGCTTTAGCCAAACATATGTGAAAACTATCAAAGATGCCCCTTTCTTGGTGCCAAAGGGTGCCATCACAGAGAGCCCAGAAGGTATAAGCACCCCAAAAGAGTGCAGTTGGCAGTCTGACAAGAGTTTGAAAGTTCCTGTTGAGACCTTGCATTTGCGCAGTTATTTCTGCCCTACTAAACTCGGCATTTTACAAAGGCTGCACCGATGACCCCGCTCAAAGTCGGAAGTGTTTCTAAATGAAAAGAAACCTGCCTTTCATGATGCCTTTCACTATGAACCCCAAGCAGAATAAATTAAAGAATTCTTAGTGTATACACTGAAGAAAACTCTGCTCTCGTCTCTCTGCCTATAGACACCACACTCCTCTACCCCCACCCCCTGGGATCTCCAGAAGTTGAGAGGCAGGTGGAATACTGTGCCTGCTCTACTTGGGTCCCACAACATTGACTCAGAGCTGTATGAGAGGAAGTGGAGAGGGGAAAATGTGAAATGTGAACAAATGGATGTGAATGACTATCCACCCTTGCACACACTTCTCCACTTGAGGATTATGTTTCGTTGCCTGCTGGGAGCATCAGGGACGTGCTAATAGAGAGAAAGGTGCTGACCCAAGCAGTGAATGTTGATTCTCCACTCCCTCCCACCAGCACCCCCAGCATCATGAGCTGATCCTCTCGACAAGGCCGGTACAACTGTGGTCAGAGTGGCCTCTTCCAGGTGTGTGGCCAAGTTCCCAACAGGTACAAGGCCTCTCTTGAAAGATGCTTGAGTGAACAATAAATGCATTTAATTCTGATGGACACTCTGATGAGCATGCTTAAAAAGAGTTCATAAAAATATATTCAATCTTTCCAGCCTCTAGTAAGACTTCTGATAGCTAATGTTGTAACTCAACTAACACAACTGATTTTCTCTTCTCAATCAACACACGCAACAATATTTAGAAGTGTAAACAGGAAGAAATAGTTCCATGTGGTTGCTCACAAAAACTGACTTGAAAAATTAATGATTTTGCCTTGTATGATGCAATAAATATAATATAAACATACTTCATGATTGCTTTTTGTACTCTTATGATCTTGAATTAGCTTTGCTTTGCTGGAACATAGAATATGAATTTTGAAGCTGTGCTTTGATAAATATTGACAAATTATCATTACTAGTTTTGAAGGTGGTAAAACCTCTTTATCAATTGAATCAAGTATTAATCATATTTATTTCTCACTTAAATGAATTAAGAAATTTTATTATTTTATATGAGCAATCAATGAACTTGCTGTGAAGTATCCTTTAATTACCTAGACAAAGTAGTTTGAGAGTGTACCTTGACTATAAAGAAAAAGTAAACACTTCCAGTTTTAAAATTTTGTTGTTTTAGTTTTTTCCTCAGTCACACTATTTAAAGCATTTAGGGGAATTTCAGGCTGTGACCATAAGTATTATGTGTAATTTCATATTATATGAACTATTTTTACTCTTTCTGTTGTTAACAAATGTATTAGTTTTACCAGGTTTAAACCTGCATGGCCATTTGAATTTTAAAATGGGAATAAATAATTCATTAAATTTGTCCAATTACATCCCCTTGCAGAAGGGCTGCGGGGAGGTGAGGAGCAAATCGGAGGGCAGTGTAGAAACGATGAAATATACAATTTTCCTCTGATTCTTAAATGCTTCCTCCACCCCACTACCATGATCCCAATTCTACCTTACATATCCGGCTGGACCGGAGGATGTGCACTGGCACAGATAGGAACTGGAAATACAGTGAATCCAGGACAGATGAACCCCCAGGACCAGTGGAGAGAGTGGCGATGGCGGGAGGGTGGAAGGAAGGAGAGGGAGAAAGGGGGAACAGAGGACAAGGTCTACATGTGGCCTCATCCCTGGGGGGTGGAGAAGTGGGTGAGGGAGACATGGGATGGGGTAAGATATGATAAAATAATAATAAATTATAAATTATCGGGGGTTCGGGGAGAGTGGGGAGGGAGGGGGAAAAATGAGCTGATACCCGGGGCTCAAGTGGAAAGTGGGTGTCGTAAGAATGATGAAGTCAACATATGTACTAAAGTGCTGGACACAGATGAAGTATGTACAGATTGTGATGAGTTGTATGAGCCCCTAATAAAATGATTATTTAAAAAAAACACATTAAAAAATTTGTCCAATTAACAAATCATTCAGGACAAAACCAGAAATCACGCTATTTTTAAATCGGGTTTCCTGATTCTACTCCCATTCCATGAATTAATATTGTTTTCATAATTTTAGCTAAAAGTTGCTTCAAGTTGACTAGACCCCTAATGGCAGATAGACAAATCATTGACAAACATCCCACCCATCTCACCTCATTTAGGCACAAGGATCATTGATATCATCCATAGATGCTGCTCAGTATATAGAGATCTGCACAAGCTGCTCACTTGGCTAGATAGTAAGTTAACACACACAAACACCTATTCACTTTATATCCACCTTAAACAACGATTGCATCACTGAACAGTTAAATATGGGAGATCGATTTATAACCATCACTCCACTCAATTTCATGCTACTTAACAGATAACATTCCAGAAATGTACACATCATCTAACTCATCTCCTACTGCTATTGTGGTCCCATTAATCTATTACAGAACTGTAACAAAAACATACATATTATCAGGATACCTTGTTTGCAAAGATATATTGAAATTTTATATCATTGAGGTAAATTTCTCAATTTTCCATTAATTGTGAATATATACAAATCAAGATAAATATTAATAATACTGTAGCTAGTTATAAATTCTAATTTAGATTTCCACGGTTGATCTCTTTTCTTTTTATATCATTAGGTTTAAATAAGGTTAGTCTGACATATCTTAGTAAAAGTATTAGATAGATCTTTAGATGCACTTGAGTTACCAACCATAGTTTTCGTACAATTACCTCTTTACAATTATTGAATCCTTGGATTTTTAACAAAAGAGCTAAAGCACAACATAAAAGTAAAATTTTTCCTCGTCCTCATAAATGCAACATTAATGAAGCATACATAACATTGTGTCTTAGCAAAAACAGCTTATTTTTTTAATTCCTATTATCTGTTGCTATCATGGCTCTGTGTGTGTAATTGAATATATGTATTCCGTTTCATCAGTCCTTTTCACAGTATCAACTGTAGACAGGCATTTTCCACTTAACCAGAAAAGCTAAGATGCTTTAGATAAGACAGAAAATAAGTAGGAAAAATTCTTTCATTTAAATGGTGAAGCTGTACAAATCATGCTGCACAACCACCAGTCGAAATAGAAAATTCTAACTTTAGAAATTACACTACACTGTTTCCTAGGCAAACTGTTAAGACATATTGGATAAAATCAGGGAAAGTAGGTCTGTGCTTGGCTACACAACTTGAAGGAGAACATCTTGATACCACAGACGTCTTTAGGTTTAAAAAACAACAACAAAAACACCTTTCAGCCAAAGATGACTCCCCTTTCTTCCTCAAAGGCATCTGTTTAGTCATTTAATTTCAAAATGTGGGGTGTTTTGTTGTTTTTTTCAAAAGAAAATATTGACTCTTCAGCATATTTTATACTTATCAAAGATAAAATTATTAGAAAATCAACTTGGTCAAATCAAAAAGAAAAATATAAAGCATTATTCAAAGCTTAATAAAAACAAACAACCCCATTTGGTAAGTTTATACAGATATTCTAAAAGCTAGCAAAAGGACTTACATCATCTAGGATAAACAATTTTCCATATAGAATGGGAATTATATAAATCTTCCAAATTTCTATATAATACACTGAAAATAAAACCAATGACAAAAGTAATCTAATAGTTTTATGTAATGCCAAATAATACTATTTCCATCAGTTAACAAAATGTGCAAAGAACAGAGGTAGCACATACTAGTGACCCAAAATTCCATTATGACAGTTTTTAAGTGTGAACTTTATCATCCCCCAATCCAACACTGCAGCTATATTACACATTAGAGCAAATAAAATTTCCTACCTCCTTTTTTTTGCAGTGTGATAAAAAGCAATACTCTTATTGTTGGATATATTCTCTAATAAGTAAAATATCAACATAAAACAATAAGTTTGGGATTTCAAATGTCCGAATAGTTCTTCCATGGATCATATCTGTTCGTACCTCAACAATTCTGTCATGTATTTCCAGGCTATGCGCTCTGTCAGCAGGTCCGTTTTCCAAAATCCTTGAGACATAAATTCCTTCCATTGATGTTTCCTCTTGATTATTCTGTAAAGAGGTAGCATTGAGAAAGGTGTAAGACAGAGTGTATGCTTGATAAAGGATAATTTACTGAATGACAACATGGCTCATCTTCCTAAAATATGCAACTCCTGTTTAGCTGGGCATTTGGCACAGAATTTTCACTTACTACCAAAGGATCATGAATCGCGATGGAAGCGTTCAGGAAGAGGTCCAGCATTGCTGACGCAATTAGCTATTGACTTCATATTTTGGAGTACACACAAAAAGAGCAATGCAGAAAGGACAAGGAGGGGTAGCCTCAACTGCCTCTAAAATATTGTTTATAGAACATTTCCCTGGTAAAGAGTGGTAGAAAATAAAACTGGTGATAAAGTTAAAAAGGAAGGGAAGGAGAAAAAAAATCCTTAATAAGCTTCATTGGTTTGAGATCTGATTATGGTTTTGAAAATACAATTTAACTTCATGAAGCGACAATGAGGCACCAGCTACATCTATTCAAAGAACAGATGTAGAATGAGGCACCAGCTATATCTACTCACAGAAAAAACTGTGAGCTTGCTCAAGTGTTAAGTCCCAAAACAACAACTCTAAGCCACAAGAGAACCCATTGAAGGCTAATCATTACACATCCCCAGCAGGTGCAATTTGCCTCATGATTAGTTAAACCTCAAATGTATAACCCCAATATGGTACAAATAAGAGATTTCAGCCAGTCACTGGACTAATTATATTTTAAAACTTATTAAGGGAGAAAAAGTTCAATATCCTATAATTATACACTGTATATTTTAAATGCCCTTCTACTTCATATGAAGTGTGGTTAAATGAAATTATTTTCTCCTCAACTAACCTTCCTGAAAATGAATTATAACAGACTCTTGAAAATGCCCAATGTCATCTAAATGTCAAACACCGAATGAACATTTTCCTTAGGGGAAAAGAGAACAAAAAGGATATTGAGAGACTTCTACTTTTTCACAATTGGGGCAGTTTTCGAAACAGAAACACAGAAATGGTTAATTGCTCTCTTTTTAAAATACTACCACAGGGAAGAGCTACGTCACTGGAATCCTGATATATACTAACATTGGCCAGCAATCCTAATATGGTTTCCTGGGCCAATATCTGCAACGCAGGATGCAAACTCTTCACAGCAGTTTATTAGAGAAATCAAAGAGCATGATCTTCTAAAAAACTTCATCAACTTTTTACACTTACGGTCAAAGTGACATTAATGCAGGAGTTGAAGGGTTTTAAAGGCTCTGAAACTACAGTATGTAGTATAAGCTTACAATGTATGTATTTTGAGAACACTTGGCCTTAATGTGGAGAGTATTATTCACTCAATTAAATAATTATTTCAAAATAACAGCTGACATTTCAAAGAAGCTAACTTTTCAAACATGATATTTCCTATGTAATTGTGAACACAATTACTCCTTAATTTCAGCTTGCAAAATAGGTCTGTTCATTCATTCATTCAATATATATTAACTACCTAGTCTTTGTTAGTTTAAGCAATTTGACTTAATAAATAGGAATCACAAGCAATAATATAATTGCCTAATACACGTTATCAAATGTTATTGCCTCTACACATCACAGTGAAATATGTTTATTCAAGAAAGCAGTAAATGAGGTATAAAATTTAGACAAAATGTGAAGTGGGAACAAGAAGTAGATTTTTCCCCTCAAAAAAGTCAAGTTATGTATTAGGATATTCATATTATTTTTCATAAGCAAAAATTGAGTTATGTAAGCATTAACAAGCCATGTTACCTGATTTGGCCGACCTCCTATGATATTGAATCCCAAGGTGTCATTTTCCCTTTTTAATACAATAGTGAATAGCTTATGGTCTCCATCCTAAACAAATAAAAATTAAAAAAAAGAGGGTGGGGTGGAGAGATAAAGTGACTAAGGAGATAAAAATATCAAAGGAAAATAAATGTATAATAGGATTTTTTCCTATAAAGAAATCAAAAATTTTGAAAGGGGACATAAGTAAAGATAAGAATGCATGAATTGAGGAAGTATTTTTTCCTCTAAATTAACTCTGAAGATATGTACCATATTTGAAGGAAATAACTATGGACATCAGGAAAAAGCTGTTTTCCAAAATGGATTAATGATTGCAGTTTTATACAGGTTTATCCTCTTGCAGCATCCGATATGACTGCTGTGTAAATAAAAACAAATTTCTGGTTTCACTTTGCAGCTATTTTTATTTCACCCCCTCACTCAGAGAAAAGTGAAACGCATCCTCAAATGAGCTTAGCATTGCTTTACTGGTGGTTCAGTGGTTAAAACAAGCCCACCAACCTTCCAAGGGATGAAAATGTGGCCATTGGCTTTAAGTAAAGATCACAGCCTTAGAAACCCCAGGGAGTAATTTCACTCTGTCCCACAGGGCTGTTGTGAATTTAAATGATGCCACTGCAGTGGATTTGGTTTTGTTGTGAGGTATTTATAAACTTATTTCTACAATAAGAGTCAAGTTGCTGTTGTAATATGGGATCTGATGAATTATCATCATGCTCATTTAAAATAATATTTCTTGCCATTTTGAATAATTCCTGAAGAATTTTTTTTAAATTGTGATAGGTAGACTCCTAAGTATTTCTTTCTTGGTGAATGGATCAATAGAAATTATTTCTACTACCTCTTTATTGGTAAAGATGAATTTAAATGTAAGATGAAATAGTAGCAGATTAGAGGTGCTTTATCCATAAACAGGAATCTGGTTAACCACCTATGGGAAAACGATATCGTTTGCACCATCGCCCTTCCGAGGCAGTGCACACCGCAGCGCCTACTGGTGGTGGAAAAATTACTGAGGAGCCCCAAGGAGTCTTTTGATGGGAGGCTGCAAATCAGGGGCTCACCTCCAGAAACTCTATTGACCTGTTGCATGGGCTTCTCTGTAGCTCAGTTCTGAAAGCTGTTGTTTCTTTCTGTCACTCAATCTTTGGCTGCCTCCGACCTTGAAACAGGAAGGGTAGTACAGACGGATATCTGTGCTTCCATGTCCCTCCCCCCCCATTATATAAATCTACCAATTTATATACCAATTTACATAAGAAGCCCTGGTGGTGGCAGAGCTAACTCAAGAGGGGGCAGGTCTGCCGGAAAAGGATGTGGCCCACAGCTTTTACACAGATTTACGGCCTGGGAGACCTTGTGTGCCACTTCCACTCTGCCCTATGGGGTCGCTTAGTGTGGGAATCCCCTTGGCAGCCATGGGCTTGGTTTGGGGGATTACAGAGACTAGAAAGAGAGAGATTCACGCAGCCAAGCCTTTCAATGAACAGTGTGCTTCTTCATTAGGGTGGAAATGTTTTTGCTCTCTTACTTCAATTATCTTTTAGGTTCAAGGGCAGAAGCTTCTAAATGCCTGAGTTGGAGGCAGTACAAACCAGTCCCAAATGGGATTCCTCCTTGGCTGCTCCTCCCCAGGCTTGCTGAAGAATGAAAACAGCTCCTTGAATGGAGTGCAAATTCTGCTTAAATCCCTGCTCACCATGGCAGCGCCCAACAATGTCAAACACAGCACAGAGGCCTTCCAGAAGAGAAATCACAGCTTTATAAACAAGCCTCTCCACACAGGGTGCTGCAAAAAGGCTTGTTTATTCTGGAAGCGGGCGCTCCACCAGCGCAGTCCGGGACCAGCAGCTTCCACAAAGAAGGGAACCAGCCGCTCGCTTCCCTGGAGCTGCCCAGCCCGCTGGACCACAGAGGGATGGGGCTGTTTTCAAACTGGGGATCCAAACCGGCTACACACACACACACACACACTCACACACTCCACCCAGATGTTGTGAAGAGACCCAGAGCCAGGGAGGGCACCATTGATGGATAAACAAAAACCCCTGCAGTTCTAAGAAGCACCCTATTCCTCACTCTTGAGGGTGTCCTGACCCCCTATCCCCGTGAGTCCCCATCCAGAGCAGATGGGCAGTTTGGTAGCGAAACGCAGTTTGAGAGAGCTAAGGCCATGCTCAGGTGTGGGACACACGGGTCAGTGGGGACACTGGCCGCGGTGGGGAGAAGAGGGACGCCCAGATCCGAGTGATCCCGATTTCTCGGCTTTTCTCTACCTCTGGGATTTGCTTCAAAGGTACACAAAAGTGGGCAGCAAAAACTGGGCAGAGACAACCGGAGCAAGAGGGTCAAGGGGTAATAAGACGGGTAATAAGACTCTGAGTGGGAACATTCCCTTGCCCAGGCCCCGCTTCTCCGCGGAAAAGTTAGAACTGAGTATGTCTAACTCTTTCCAATCCTAATCGCAGTGGGAAGCGTCAAACGAAATTCAAAACCCCAAGACAGTCTTCCGATCGTCGGTATGCTGGGTTCGGGGCGGGCACAAGCAGTTAGGCAGGTT